AAAAAAAAAAACTATTGATTCGTGGTTCAGTTTGATTCTCTAGGAACCAGAATCAAATGGAACCATATTCACGCCTAATTTAAATCCAATAAACAAATTGAATATTAAACTTATTGAACTTCTAATTTCCTAAAATGTGATCATATAAACTTCTTTCTTAATAATCTATTTCAAAAAATATTAGCTACTACAATTTCTTAAAATGTATTTTAAAATCTCATTATCCCAAGATTATGCTATGTAAAATGAATTCAATCATTCTCAAACACACAACAATTATGGAAAGATTTTATAAAATTGATTAATTTCCCCCAGAAAAAAAGAGTTATTTATATATACATAACCATTAACGTAAGCCTATTGCACGAAAAGGCTAGTAGAGTACAAGACAAAATTACCCTCTGCCTGCAGGCCAGGAGGTCACGGGCTTTAGTCACGTGCAGCAACACCGCTGTATCACAATAATTCCACCCACAACCACACAGCACATCATGATCCACGGCGGCGCCACCACCGATACATAACCACTTACATCGAAATCATTAACTAGAAACTATATATAATTCTATACAACCATATATTATGTATGTACCGCAGTTGAGATGGTGATCGTCTCGTATCATATGGTGCAGCCGCAGAAGACAAAGAAGAAGCAAAGGAAGGAAATGAGGGCGACGGACTCGATGGCGGAGATGAAGGACCAGATTACAGTGTCCACAATCGGGAAGGAGAAATCGATGTCCGGCCACCGCACGAGCGCCGCCAACCGCCGCGGTTCGAAGCTGCTCAAACTGCTAAGGCTAAGGCTGCTGCTCCAGCTTGGTGTGAAGTACGAGGCGAACAGCCTCGGCCACCGGAAATATGACGTCGGAAGGTTGAAGCTAACGTCAAGCCACCGGAAAACTGTCATGGACGACCATGTCGGCATTATCGGAGACTTTGTGTGTGTGCGCGGGCGCGCAGCGAGGTTTAGAGGTACAGTAGACGAGAGATATGAAAGGGTGAAGTCTTGTCTTTTGGGCTGGGTTTTAATTACGAAAATTTGATGCTGATGGGAAATAGATGTTTGGTCCAATACTGATTTGTTGATCAATCTAGGCCGTAGAATTGGTTTGGTCAATTTGAGATGGTCCCACCCACGTGAAAAACAGGCCGTTCGATGGTATTATAACGCAAACTAACTTGTTTGAAACTTTGCTCGGGTTTTAGATGTTTGCCTAAAGTTAAAAACTTCGATTTTAAGTAAATCTACTTATAAGTAGAAATGTAAATAATCTATCTTGTTCGGTGTTTGGTACACATTATTGAGGAAAGAATGTATTTTAAATAGTGACGTGATGGAAAATATGTAGTTAAAAAATAAAGAAAATTTTTGAAAGTGATGGAAAATATTATTTTATTAAAAAATGTACGATTGAAAATAAATTTTGAAAGGTTGTAGATCGAACAGGGGCTAAGTATATTAGGTATTCTCCATCAAATCGGTTGGTGTTGAATTTTCAACAGCAGATTTTGTAATTGTGTTTTATAATCATCTAAGCTTTGTCGCCTATTGATGATTATGTTCTCGAAAGTGCCATACAAATAATAATCTTTCCATCATCAAAATAATTTTAGGAATATAAAAGTAACAAATCCAAAATAAAAAATAAATTTTGTCCTAATTTATGGGACAATGAGCCTTAATTGCGGACCGTCTTATGCCCTATCAAAAGAATTTTGTCTACTTTCTTTGACACGACCTATTAAACTGCAATAAAAAAAAAAAAGTACTAATTTTTGTCTTAAGCAGCCCCATTTTGGGAAAAAAATATTTTGGAATAGTTATTTTTTGAAAAATATGCGGCTAAAAAATAAGAAAATATTTTCAATTTACGTGTTAAAATTATTTTATTAAAAAATACATAGTTGAAAATGAGTTTTGAAAAAATGAGATTCAAATATAAATGAATTCATTTCATGACATCTAAATAAGATAGGTAGACAGATTCCAACTTCCAAGTCGTGAGCAGCAATTTTTTTAATATTGATTATGTGAGTTGTTCAACTTCCATGAAAATGAAGATAAAATAGGTGGATTTGAGAACTTTCCAATATATATAAAGCTTCTGTTTGGTGTGGATTAAAATCGAATTTTTTGTGAATTTTTATAAAGGTTTAGGAAGTGTATGATGTTAGACTTTAATTTGATCTATCATGTGTATGTAAATAACAACATATAGATCAAATGCGAAAATATGGAAAACGGAAAACTGACCTCCAGCCATTGATGCAGAAATGCAGAATTTCGGATTGTGTTTTGGTGCTTCTAAGCCTTCAAGAACTCCTTTAGATGGTGTATTTTCGTGACAGAGAACTCAGGCTTAGGGACCAATACCACTATCTCAATTTATAAACTTCTTCCCATCAAAGAAGTTATCTCAAG